TCCCAAAGAACATTATGAAGCCTATTCTAAAAGCAGTCAACTTCCTTTATGATCACTGCTTTTGATTTTATGTTTATAAGAAAAATCCGTTTGGTAGGCAGGTGATAAAATCTCTGTGTATTACATACACCTGTACTGACAAATGTATTTTCCTTTCAGCTATCCTTGAACTCAGAATAAACTCTGAAATCCTAGAACCTACTACGGTGCCTATAAATGCAGTGGTAGTATGGTTAATGCATACTTATCAGAGGTGGGTTCCTACCAGTTCGCACCTATTCGGTAGAACCGGTTCGTCAAATCTACCGAACCGGTTAGAAGAGGTTCCACTAGTGGACCCGGAAAGCAGGCCTCACCTACAGAAGAGGTTCCAAAAAATTTTGAAACCCACCACTGATACTTATGAACCATGAAGAAAGAATACAATAACATTTGAAACAGTGAGGGCTATGGATTAAAGCAGTTAGATACAATATGAGCCCAGAATTCTATTAGCCATAATAGAACATACTTTCCCACTGAGACTTTATCCATGAATAGCATGACAGAAACTGGGGTATTAATATAACCCCTTGCAAAGCAGCACAGGCATTTTTCCTAATGGCATTTCATTATAGTTTATTAGCCACCAACCTTCCTGGGAAGATTGGGGCTAGTTTCTAATACAAAAAGGCAAACCTTCTATTTTTTTTTTCTTTTGAAAATTAGTATACCCAAGAAATTTGGAACTTTTTTTTAGTGAGAAACAACAATCTCAGAATGACAAGAAGGGAAAATGATTATGAAACTGTTCATTATGTGCCTGTGGACCCTTTGTATAATCAGTATAATGTTCTGTCCAGGGCATTAAACAGTTGCTTGGCAGAATAGGAAAACATAATGGAAGCATTTAAGTCTTTTCATGACAGAAAAGAAAAGAAAAATGGGGGCCAAACTTATACTGTGCTCCACTGGAATTATTCTTGATTTTAAAGTGTTTTTCTGTTTTGGATGGGTGAAATAGGGAATACATTTGCCAATCTATATTTGTAAAGATGCCCGGATATGTCAGAGAGACCACTAAATAATATCATAGCAACATATTATAATATATGTACAACTATAGAGGTTAAAATAGCAGTTTATTCCTTATTTAAGTAATCCATTTTAATCCTTATGTTATGGCATACTGGATCTTTCATTTAAGTTAAATTACATTGCTCTCGAAGTTTCATTTTTTAAAAAAATGTTAAGCAAGTTATAAAATATTTGCTAGATTTCACAGGATAATTTAATACCGTGTTTCCCCGAAAATAAGACAAGGTCTTTGCTCCACGAAATATGGCCTTGGGCTTATTATAGGGGGGGGGGAGAGCTTATTGGTTTGGGGTTGCCGGGCAGCTGCTCCCTTGCGAACTGGCTCCCGAAGAGCCGGGCAGCCATGAGGTGACCACACTAACGAGCAACCGCCCGGCAAACTCGCTCTCCATCCAGGCAGAGTGCCATTCACTGACCTAGGGGGTATCCCTAAGGCGCCAAGGCACATGGCGCTCTGCCCGCTCCCCTGATCCCATGGCTTGGCACATTCAGGAAACCCCCTAGGTCAGTGCATGGTGCTCTGCCTGGCTGGAGAGGGGGGGCCAGGGCACTGCTGCCGTGCTCCAAGCATAACTTCTTCTCTGACTTCCCAACTCCAAAACTCGACTGCCAAGTCTTCCAGCAGCAGCCGCTCTAGGAGTGCACTCTATGGTTGTGGGCCAGCTGCCGGACAGAGAGTCTTCGAGACAGAGAGTCTTCCAGCAGCCAGCCCACAACCATAGAGCATACTCCTAGAGCTGCTGGAAGACTCATCAGCTGAGTTTTGGAGTTTGGAAGCCGGAGAAGAAGTTATGCTTGGAGCGCGGTGGCGGCCGCAGCAGTGGCGGCCTGGCCCTGCAGGGAGAGCTGGGCCAGGGCATGGTGAGGCTGGGAGGCATGCTTGCTGGGGGTGGAACAGGCGCTTGCGCAACCCCCCTCTCCAGCCAGGCAGAGCTCCATGCACTGACCTAGGGGGTATCCCAAATGTGCCAAGCCGCGGGAGCTGGGGGGCGCGCAGAGCACTACATGTCTTGGCGCCTTAGGGATACCCCCTAGGTCAGTGAATGGTGCTCTGCCCGGCTGGAGAGGGTGTTTGCCGGGCGGCTGCTCGTGAGTGTGGTCACCTCATAGCTGCTTCGCCCCTCAGGCTGTGCCTGGCTCTTCAGGAGCCCACTCACAAGGGAGCAGCCACCCAGCAACTCCCCCCTCCAGCCAGGCTGAACGCCACTCCCCAACTTAGCGGTATCCCGAAGGCGCCAAGCAATGTGAGTGCCTTTCCCTCCGCAGCTCCCACGGCTTGGCACCTTCAGGATATCACTAGGTCGATGAGCGGTGCTCTGCCTGGCCAGAGGGGGGATTGTCCAGGGGGCTTATTTTTTGGGGGGGTTATATTTTTGCCCATGTGAAATTATACCTTTCAGAGGATAGAGGAAAGCTAAAATTTCAAATGTATATGGATCAATAGTAATTCATTACAGTTTAAACTCTGATTATGAGCAATTGATTTGCTCAGTAAATTTTTGCTGTTGCTGATTGTCAGGGTCATTTAATTGGAAAGATTTGTGTCCTTTTGTAAATGTCAATCTTTGGTTTGAAAAAACTCAAATAATCTATAGCATCAATTGGTTATTGATTTATATCATATAAGCCGTTTCATGAGCTGACATTTATAGAAGTACTTTCATTGTCTGAACTGGATTTTTTTTTGTTTAATAGCAGTAGCAATAGCAATTAGACATATACCACTTCATAGTGCTTTACAGCCCTCTCTAAGCAGTTTACAGATTCAGCATATTGCCCACAACAATCTGGGTTCTCATTTTAATGACCTCAGAAGGATGGAAGGCTGAGTCAACCTTGAGCCAATGAGAATCAAACTCCTGGCAGTCAGCTGAATTAGCCTGTAATACTGCATTCTAACTATTGCACCACCACAGCAGCCGTACACAGAAACAGTAGACTGCTGTTTCCAAGAGAATAAAGACTACAAAAGATAGGGCTTGAAATACTGACAACCAAATGATATCACCCAGAAATGGCATCAATTCTATTATAGTGAGAAAACACTTTCAAACAAAAGTGAGGTAAAAACAAACAAAACTTCAAACCCAAACAAATCTAGTGAAAGGCAGAAGAGGAGATAGAAATAAGGTTTGTCACTTGCAAATGATGATGGTGGTGGTGGTAGTGGCAGTGGTGGTGATTTTGATGTTATCCATTCAGTTGTGTCCAACTCTTGGCAATTCTATGGGCCAGTTCTCTCCACATCTTCTGATCTTGCACTATTTCTTTGAGTTCTTCTATGTTCTGGTTGATGTCTGCTTTGATAGTGTCCAGCCACCATATTCTTTGACAGCCGGGTTTCCTTTTACTGCTAACTCTTCCAAACATAATTGCTTCCTCCAGTGAATTCTTCTCATGACATGGCCAAAATAAGGGAGGCACTTTTTGTGATTTTGCCTTCTAGTGACATGTCCAGTGTTATGTACACAAGTACATTTGCTGCCCAAAGAATATTCAGGAGCCTTCTCTGCAGTGACGTGCAGTGAGCTTTATGGCTGGTGAGGCAGCAATTTTTTTAAACTTGTGGACTTCAACTCCCAGAATTCCACAGCCAGGCATGCTCAGTTCCGACTTAAAGCGACAGCATTTTCCCCCCTCAAAAAATAAGTTTTCCCATTCTTTTTCTTCTCCCTGCCCCTCCTTCCTCCTCTCTCCCTCCCT